TCAGCAGTGTACTTCATCAGTCGGCCTATTCTGCTCCCCACTCTGTCTCTGGTGAATCCTCTCACTGCCCCTGCACCTCTGGCCTGTACCCCAGGTCTGTCCTGCATCAGATAAATGGTAGATGTGACAAACCAGCAGCAGAGCATCCAAAACAAGGTAAGTACAGGCTGAAAACTCTTTATCCACAAATTTTCTAATCTAAAAAGTTCTGAAGGCTGAAAATTTTGATAAATTTATGAGAGACTCATTTGGGTACAAAAACCTGACCTGCTAAAATTCAGCTGGAAGCAAAATCCAACCTGAACTAATATGAGGCTACTGAATGATTCTCTTTATCCTACGTACTGTGAAAATTCACATGTTTGTTGCAGGAACTTTTAGCATTTTAGATTTTATTTATTTGTGCATCAAGAACTGGGGCACAGGTCAGAGAGGCAAGGGCGGTGAGAGAATTCACCAAAGACAGAGTGGGGAGCAGAACAGGCATACTGACGAAGTATACTGCTGAGGGGAACAGCGGGCAGGTCAGGAGAGGTCTGCCACGCCATGTGGGTCACCTTCCGGCCCAGGATCGAGTTCTTGCTAAAGCAGCTGCGGCTAGCTTCATAGTGCTGTACTTAACCCGCTTAACCCATTGGGCCACCAGGGAGGGCCCTTTGCTGATGAAATTCTAATCAGCTTTACTATAGGATGCTGCCCCAGACTCCTCTGGGGTGGTTAAATATCTGTAATGGATTCACCCTCGGGCCAGTTTAAATCAGAAAAGAAATCTGAATTCCACAATACAGCTTCCCCAAGGGTTTTGAACAAGGGACAGTCTTTAGAAACTGGGGCAGGAAGGAAACTACAGCTCTTCTAGGTCAGTCCATTAAGATTGTAAATGAGAAAAGACAGGCAGTGAGCAAGGTTGGAAATGCAGGATGGGGAGCGGACCCTGAGACTGAACGGGGCTCACAAGGGACAGTACAGTGCAAGGCATGCTGGGAACAACCCAGAGACTAGGGAAGCAGGAGCCCAGGGAGGGAGGAAGCAGTAGGTAGGAATGGGGAGCTGGGGGGGAGGGGGGTGGCCAAATGAAAAAGATCTGCAGGCCCTGAAATGAATTTGGCCTTTAGAGGAGGTATGTAATGTGAGTTGCTCTGTTTCTTTTAAAGCCTGCTACCAAGTGAAAAAGAGACCTGCTGGGATGTGACTGCAGGAATCTGGGCAAGAAGCCTGGTGGCAAGAAAGGCAGCACCAGAGTGGGAACGTCAAGAGGCGGGAGATCTGAATGAGGAGCTGGCCTGATTTGATGGAGGGTGAGAAAGAAACAGATGAGACAATGATGCCTTCGAAGGAACTCACTCAAAATCATCCAGTTCATAAGTGGCCAAGCTATGACTTAACCCCAGGAAATCTAGCCCCAGATCTTAATTACCAAGCCATTCTGCTCTTCCTGAAATTGATTTCTCATTCCTATTTCAATTCTCCCTTTCCAATGTCAACAGATTCCTCCTTGGCTGATTATGCAAAACGGTGATGTCCCATTAATTTGTTCAGTTATTGCTGGGCACGGGTCCAAGCGATACAGCTGCGCCCCCTTCTGGCACTTTGGAGAATTGGCAGGGCTGGACCAGAAAGAGGCCCTCATAAGCAGGGCATTTTGGTGAAGGAAAGTCAGGCAAGGGAGCTCTGCTTGAGGCAGGGAATCAAGGGCTAGACACCAGACCCCTTCAGGGTCCCCTGAGCTGGGACCACAGGGCACTTGTGATCTGGAACAGTGCCACCATCTTCCCTCCTGGACAGAATGATGTCAGAGCCCTCCCTTGTGAGAATGTATTGACAGAGGACTGTGGAGACAAAGAACTGATGTTTGGTGCTGAAAGACTAGGAGTCAAATGAGGTCCTTGGGCTACTTCCCTGGATATTCTCCTGTTGTAGTGATCAGGAGGGCACAAGAGGGACCAGAGGAAGCATGAGGAAAGAATACCTATGCTGGCAAAGCTGGCATACACCAGGGTGGGATGCCTCCTCAACCCCTCTTTGATCCAGGCCACCACCTACAGCCACGTTAGTTGAACAAAGCAAACCTGTTCCTCCTCTGGGACAGCCTGTCTTCCTGCTCCAAGCACCCTACTGTTCACCCACTGCACATCTCTGTGCAGGCATCTGGGTTCTGAGTCACGAAGCCTTTCTGCATGTCAGGTGGGCCATGGCCCAGTGAGAAGGGCAAAGAATACCTCAGAGCAGTGCCAGCCTCCAATCACAGGAGCCCAGGCAGATACCCTGCCAGCATTTTTACCTAAAAGTGCTACCAGAACTGGAGGATTCTGAGGTCACTTATCTGGAAAGCAAAGGCGGTTGTTGTTCTTTTCAGTCTAATCGAGGCAGCCATTTACAGAGGGAGTGTTCTGTTTGTCTTGGTTACTTGGGTCTGCTTCATTTGTTTCAACTAAGAATGACTCAAGGATCCTGGCTTTAACCCCTTAGAAGGATACATGGAATCTGAGAAACACTCTCATGATAGGGAGATCAGGCAGCTTCTGAGAGCACATGTGGAAGAATTTATGTAGATACAAATCTGTAAGACTGAGCCTCCGCTGCAAGCTTTAACTGTTTTCACTAAAGAGGCATATGTATATAGTCAATATATACGTGTCCCAAAACACGTGGGACTGTGAAGTTTTCCTTCATTCGTTCATTCAACAGGCATGACTGAGTGTTCACTGCATGCCAGACACCATGTCCAGTGTGGCCCTTCAGGGATGAACTATGCAAACACAGCACCTGCAGCCACCAGCTGAGGAAGAACTGCAGTGTAGGCCAGAACTGTGGGAATGGGAGGGTTAAGAGAGGTGGAAAAGGGAGAAGATTCACCAGAGACAGAGTGGGGTGCACAGAAGGCAGATTTTACTAAAATTCACTGCTGGGGGGAGCAGCAGGACAGAGAGGAGAGGTCCACTGCACATTATCTGGGTTAGGTCCCTGGGACTGAACTCGGGCCACAGTGGTAATATGCTGAAATTTAACCCGTGGGCCACCAGGGAGGCCCGTTTTTGTACCTGTTGATGAAGACATATTCTTTGTTCTTTAGAGAGAGAGAACTATGGTTCTATTATAAGAAAAACAACAGGACACATGGTAACTAACTTGCCTGAGAACTGTAACAGGTACTAGTGGGGACAGAGGCAGAAATGGAAAGGGCAGCCCCCACCCAAAGGGGGCAGCCTCCACTCAGCACCACTGTTTCCATGGGGATACCAGCCCAGGACTGCAGACTCCTATTTCCCAGAAAAGACAGAAAACTTGTTGTTTTTTTTTTAATATTTATTTATTTAGGCCCTCCCTGGTGGCGCAGCAGGTTAAAGCACAGCACTGAGAATCTAAAGCTGCTTCCGCATGAGTTCGATTCCCGCCTGCTCCGGAGGAAACCACATGGCGAGGCAGACCTCTCCTGACCCGCCCGCTGCTCCCCTCAGCAGTGTACTTCGTAGATCTGCCTGTTCTGCTCCCCACTCTGTCTCTGGTGAAGCCTCTCACCGCCCCTGAACCTCTGGCCTGTACCCCAGTTTTGTATGCAGAAATAAATAAATCTTTAAAAAAAAAGATTTATTTATGCATACAAGAACTGGGGTACAGGCCAGAGACACAGTGGGATGAAAGCATTCACCAGAGATAGAGTATGGAACAGAACAGGTGACTCTACTGAAACACACTGCTGAGGGGAGCAGTGGGCCAGACAGAGAGGTCTGCTGCACCGTGTGGGTCACCTCCGTGGCCAGGGATTGAACTCATGCTGCAGTGGCTATGGATAGCTTCACAGTGCTGCACTGCTGCTCCACCAGGAACAGCCCACCCTTGACTTTTTGTGTGAATTCTACCAATTCTAAGTATTCATTCCCATTTTTATTTTTGTTTAGAAATTTATTTATTTTTAAAAATTATTTAAGCTGGGGGCCCTCCCTGGTGGCGCAATGGGTTAGGATGCAGCACTGTAAGCTGGCGGCAGTTGCTTTGGTGAAAATTCGATCCCCTGCCCCAGAAGTGACCCACATGGCACAGCAGACCTCTCCTGACCCACCTGCTGCTCCCCTCAGCAGTATACTTCATCAGTCTGCCTGTTCTACTCCCCACTCTGCCTCTGGTGAAGCTTCTCACCGCCCCTGCACCTCTGGCTTGTATCCCAGTTCTGTGTGAACAAATAAATAAATCTTTTTTTTTAATTTTTTAAAAATTATTTAAGCTGAATACGATGGGTGTGTCTGCCTGCTTCAACTGTGGCAGCTACTTTGTGAAGTTAGTACACCAATGAATGAGCTAAGGTTATAATCAGCTATTGTAAAGGTAAGGTTTCCTGACCTGACCACAAAATTCACCTACAATCTGTCAGAAATCACAGTCAAAATGAGTCAGGATCTGAATCACAAGACAAAACCAGGATGCCTGCCTTAGACTGTGTGTTGGGTTGCCAGTTACTTTTTATTTTTCTGTGATTTCAACAGGACATCCCAGTAAGCACAGCCCAGCCCTCTTTTGAAAGGATGGATTTGCTGCTTTGGGCAGGTGAAATCAAAATCAATTTGCTTGAATGTTTTCCCCAAATATCAAGCTTCTAGTCTGGTCTTGCTTACTGTGGCAATAAGTCTATCTTGACGAATATATAGGTTTTTCCTAACAAAGGTCACTGAACAAGATGGATCCTTTACAACTCCCTGGCTTTACTTCATATTGTGCAGTAATTTCAAAGGTGTTGCCTTCAGGCATGGACTATCCAGGCAGCAACTTGAGGTTAAAACCTCTGTTCCCTCAATGCTTGCCCTTTATGGGCCACCAAATACTGAACTCGTATTCAAAGGACCACCCAAAGCCCACCACATGAAATGAGTGAACAAAATGCATTTAAGTCGATATGCAGTAGACAAGTACTGACTAACAGGGTTTTGTTTCTTTCTTGGTAAGCAGGATGATAAAGTGACTTTGCCTGCAGTTGAAGGATTTCTTCTGCTTAATGCTTCTCCAACATGTCTGCTGAAAATAATCAGTCTCCAGAAACACCATCACCTCGCTCTCTCACAACTTCCGAACATTCCACACAGACTTCACCTTCAGAGGAAGAGGATACTAAGGTAAAGCTGAATGAGGCAAGTGAGGAAGAAACACAGCTTTCTGAAGAGGACAAGTTTCTGGAGGAGTATGTATACCTGTATGAGGAAGACTCTCTGAAGGAACGTAAACATCTGTACGAGGAGGAGGAGGAAGAGGAGGGTCTGAAAGAATATGAGTATCAGTATGAAGACCTGTATTCAGGAACGGGTGAGTATCTGCAAAAGGAACTGTTGTTCCTTTTGGTAGCTCTGCTTTGCCACAGTGCCCAGGAAAACCCCACAAACCTGAGATAGAGCCAAAGTTCAAAGTATCAACCCTCCTGGACCCATGGGAGGGAGACTCATTATTGACCCAGGTCTACTCACAACTTCAATAGCTGTGCCCCAAGGCACAGTGCCAATAGAACGCAACATGGAGACTTGATGACCATAAAAGTACCTGTTCATAAAAATCACTAAATAAATAAAGGTGCCCCGTATTTGATATATTTTCTTTACTGCAAAGTAACTAATACCTGTTCACTGTGGCTATTTGAGGCACTATGCAACTAAGCCAAAGGAGAGGAAACAGCTGCCACCCAACAAGAACTGCTTTTCACGTATGATTACATCCTCTCCAGATTTCAAGCCTTTCGTAAAAGAATCACACTTGTGATTTTTAAAATGACTTTTTAAAGTATATTTGTATATTCATATAATGCAATTATTGATAAATATTATATACTATATGAATACTCTTTTGTGTTCAAATTTCTAAAGTCATTTTTTAAAAGATTTATTTATTTATTTATGCATACAGAACTGGGGTACAGGCCAGAGGTGTGGGGCGGTGAGAGGATTCACCAGAGATAGAGTGGGAAGCAGAACAGGCAGATCAATGAAGTACACTGCTGAGGGAAGCAGCGGGCAAGTCAGGAGAGGTCTGCCGCGCCATGTGGATCTCCTCCGGGGCAGGTGGGATTCAAACTCATGCTGAGGTGGCCTCAGCCTCTCAGTGCTGTGCTTTAACCCACTGTGCCACCAGGGAGGGCCTCTAAAATCATTTTAATGGCTGTATCACTTTCAAGCCATATTTTTTTTTTTACTCTTGCCAGGGATTTATTTATTTATTATTTATTATTTTATATAATTCTTACATCATTCTTCATTTTTGCACAATGTATGCTTTTTCATCTCCATTATAGTCCCCATGAAATTCCCACCACCAATTCGCCTGTGCACCACCACCACAGCCCTTTGTGCTCTTCCTGCCCGTGTTTTGATCCCATTTTCCACTTGTCCCTGCAGAATGTCTCTAGTTTATAGTTAGCTGTTGTGATTTTTATTTTATTATAATTATTTTTTTTCCCTGATCCCTTATTTGAATCCTCTACATTCCTCCTAAAAGTGAAAACATTAGGTATTTTCCTTTTTCTTTCTGGCTTATTTCACTGAGTATGATCCCTTCCAGCTCCATCCATGTTGCGTCGAATGGCATGAGTTTATCTTTTTTGATTGCTGAGTAATATTCCATTGTGTATATGTACCACATTGTCTTGATTCATTCTTCTATTCTGGGGAATCTAGGTTGTTTCCATAGCTTACCAAGTAAATAATGCTACAATAAATAGAGAGGTGCAGGTGACCTTCTGAATTAATGTTTTGTGTCCTTTGAGTAGATATCTAGGAGTGGGATTGCTGGATCATATGGAAACTCCATTTTTAGTAGTCAAACCATAATCAGTTGTCTATTATTGATTATATGTTGTTTCTGATTTTTGTTAACTTAAAATATTTTGATAAACATCCTTATAGCTATATTTTACCAATTATCTCCAATTACTTACTAGAATATATTCCCACAATCTGTTGTAGGTTAACAGACACTACTATGTTTCTCAGGGTACTTATTTGGCCCCTGGGAGGCATCATCTTACCCTGCTGGTATTTAACTTTGAAGTGATTTCTCTCATCCAAGAGGTGACATTTTTCCAATATTTTTTCTACAGCTGGCAATTTTCCCTAAAGTCGAGTTCTATTATGTGGCAGTAGCGTGTTTGTGCTATTGCTAGAAGTGACTAATATGCATTGACTTCCCATGATGTCATAACTGCATGATCACAGCTACCAAAGTTACAAATTCAGGTCATCTGCATCATTTTAATGTTGACATAGAAATTAAACAATTTTTCTGGACCTGATTGTTTTCACCTGCAAACATCTCAGGCAGCTTGAATTTTTAGTAAGCTCCATCGTAAAACTGGGTGGTGTCAGCAGCCTCATAAGTATTTTTACCTTTATATCCTTTTCAAGAAAATCACACGTATCATCCTACATAACTGCTACACTTGTGGAAGTTTAGCTGATGTGTTGGTGAGGTAATTCCTCTATCGTTGGGAAATTCTTTTCCATGTGCCTCTACTAATAAACCCCCACTCAGACCCCTAATATCCCTGCTGTTCAAGTACCAAGTATAATTCTAATACTGAAAAAACAGCAGTAAGGACATTTCCTTTGCACAGTATGAATCAAGCATTCTTAACATGTCCTCTTCTGTACTGGACCTTTTGAAATATATTACCCACTGGAGTAGGACAAATACAATGCTGTCAAGTGAATGGAACTGTGCATAAAGCAGAAGCTTTGAACATAAATGCCCAGCGAGCAAAACTGGAGAGGCACTGAAAATAAAAAAGTATAGGGCAACACTAAATGACTTTAAAGGCATATGGAAGAATAACTTGGGCTTCTGAAAACCCACAGTAGCAGGTTAGAGTATGTCAAACAGGTTAAGTTATAAAGGGCTTTGCAAGAGGATTCTAAACTTTTTTTTTTTTAGATTTATATATATGCATACTGAACTAGGGTACAGGCCAGAGGCGCAGGGTCAGTGAGAGGATTCAGCAGAGACAGAGTAGGGAGCAGAACAGCCTGATTCATGAAGTACACTGCTGAGGGGAGCAGTGGGTGGTCAGGAGAGGTCTGCTGTGCCATGTGGGTCACCTCCAAGGCCGGGGATGGAACTCATGCTACAGTAGCTTTAGCTCTTAGTGCTTAGCTTTAACCTTCCATTAAAGGGCCCAGAATCTAAACTTCTTGAAAGAATCTGCATCTCACTTGTCACCTGAATCTTAATTAAAAAAAAAAAAGTAGGCCCTCCCTGGTGGTGCAGCAGCTTAAAGCACAGCACTAAGAAGCTTAAGCCACTTCTGCATGAGTGCAATCCCCACCTGCCCCGAAGGTGACCACATGGCGCAGCAGACCTCTCCTGACCCGCCCGCTGCTCCCCTCAGCAGTGTACTTCGTCGATCTGCCTGTTCTGCTCCCTACTCTGTCTCTGGTGAACCCTCTCACCCTCCACATCTCTGGCCCCAGTTCTGTATGAATAAATAAATAAATAAAATTTAAAAAGTAATTGCCCCAGGACTCAATACTAAAAATGCAAAGGGAACAACTCCTGGCCTATGGCCTTATCTCAACTCTAGTTCTCACTCAGCACTACAACTAATGCTTACCCATAGCCCAGAATGAGGCTGGCACAAGACCAGATGAGACATTCTGGCTGAGGAGTTGGCCTAGTACAGGGATAATGGATAAACATACGTGCTGAACCTTTAATTTTCAAATTTTCTGATTCTCAGGTCTTTACTACCTCCACAGTGTCATTCCCTATTATTAGAACTGATAGTATGTATTATCCCAATTGTCCAGGAAATTTTTGGTGTTGTGTCATTCTGGACCAACAATCAGATGATTCTGAGACACAAACATGTTCCTTAATATTAAAAATATTTAAAGTATTAAGCCCTCCCTGGTGGCACAGTGGGTTAAAGCACAGCACTAAGAAGCTAAAGCCACTTCAGCATGAGTTCGATCCCCAGCCCCGGAGGTGACCCACA